TATATTTATAAAATACAGTATTATGTGACAACAAAAAAGGATACATGCAACAATATGAACTTTGAACATATTATGCTAAATGAAAGAAGCCAGTCACAAATGACCAAACATTATATATTATATGATTCCATTTATGTGAAATGTCTAGAACAGGCAACTGTCGAGACAGAAAGGTATATCAGTAGGAGTTGCCTGAGTATGGAGTGGTTAAGGGTGACAGCCAAAATGTATGTAGCTTCTTTTTGGGGTAATAAAAATGTTCTAAAATTTACTGTGGTGATAATTATACAACTCTGTGAATATACTAAAAACTGTTGAACTGTATACTTAAGTGGGTGAATTGGTATGTAATTATATCTCAACAAAGATGTAACAAAAAAAGGCTCATATATAAATAAAAGACAGCTTAAAATTTTCTGTAAGAGTTTTATTATGGAAACAAAACAAGTGTAATTAAGCACAAAATAAATAGTTTTATTCTTGATAATAGGTACATGTTACAAAATCTGAAGTATACCAGTTTATACCCCAACTCTTTTAAAGGATTTACATTTATTGAAATTAACTTTCATTATTTTGCAAAGACATAATTTTAGTTACAGGAAGAACTCATTTAATCAAAATATTCATTGTCATAGATATGAGTCACAAGTCAACATATATAAAGCAGTTGTGTTTGTCTTTGTTAAATAGTTATGCAAAGCTATTAACTTAATATATAAAAGGGTTTTTTAGGAGACATTTCAAACTATAACTTTGGGATTCATGTTTCTTTCTGATACTATTATTCCACTAAATACAATGGTTAGATGTTCAGTGTATCTCTTATAGAACTGCACATAGGATTATATATGCCAAGATTAAAATATTGCAAATTCTAAAAGACTTACAAACGGAAATGATTCAAAGATGCCTTTATGCTAAATCCAGCAAATCTTGTTCTAAAATGCCCTTTTTATTAAAGAAAACGGGTATAATGTTTAGAAACCATACTGGACAGAAAATAGTTGAGTCAAATATATTCCTCTGAAATTTTCACATCTAATTTTATTTAAACTATTAACTCTACACATTCAAATTTTAATAATGAGCTATTATTTCAATAAGAAACTGTTCAATTTTACTTGCAACTTTTCAGAGCTGTAATTTTAATATATAGTGGTATCTAAAACTATTAGCAAATAGCGAAAGTAGAGACTATGTATTATATTTTAAAAACTGGACAAATGAAGAGAATATATTAAGGTGTAAATAAGGAAGTAGTTATTTGCTTTGCAAAAAGTTCTTAAATACACAGAATCATTCACAACATATGCCATTTAAATATTCATGCATTTAAAACAAATTTACCAAAAAAAAAAATCGACTGACATACAACTTTTAGAAACCCCACCAATTTTATAAAGAAAGGTACTACTTTTATCCACAAAGGCATCAAAATGTTTTAATAGTTCAAAATAGGAAGGATGAAAACAAATTAATTTTTCAAAAACAAAACAGTTTAATATGATGGCTAGTCATTGTGCCCTTCAAGAAATTCATAATTTACTTTTTTAAAAAAGCATATTTTTCAGCCCTAACTTGTAACACACGTTTTGACCTCCGTTTCTGCTTTTCCTTGGATCAATCTGGACTGTATGAAAGAGTGCCACAACACTGAGGCTACTACTGATTTGGGTTAATATCCTGAAAAAACATGCTGTTTGTATACACAAAAGTAATAATAATAATAATAATAATAAAAACGTTAGCTCTGGAGTACATTGCATACTCCCCAGGTTGTAAAACCTGCAGTCTAACAAAAAGTACCAAGATACGGATGCCAAAGATAGAAAAAATACAAACCAGCACAGAGTCGATATCATATACCTTATCAGATAAGTTTTATTTGTTGGATTGCCTGGCACTTGGGAAGCTAAAAAAATGAATTTAGCAGGCTAGACATCCCATTGCTACCCTTAACAAAGATTTGCTTATTAATGAGTTAAAGTTACTAGTGAAAATAGCATAGTGAGGACTCAACTTAACGATGAGGAAAAAGTTACCAAATTTTTCTTTTGTAAAAGTAAGAAATGAATAATATTTATGGGAAATAAAAAGTAAGCTTTGAAATAAAGAAGTTAAGGCACTTATTTCAATAGTTTTGCAACAGCAAGAGCAAAGCATGTTTTGTATTTATTCATGAAATTCCTTCCACACAAAAACCATAAACTTTGCTCCTTGCACAGATCTTTACTGTCAAACCTACCAACTGTAAGTTACCCAAACAGAATTACTTGCAGAATTTTTTTTTTTTTAAAGATTTTTATTGGGGAATTGGGGAAGGGGAACAGACAAGTTGCTGTCCTTTTGTTCTTCAGTTTAGTTGTGGAGGACGTTGCTTCACTGGCCCAAGTTGGCACCATCATTGCGCTCTTCCCGGGGGAGACAGATCAGTCGCCGGCCTCTGGACGGCTGCTCACTGCGGCTGCTGGCCGCTCACGCTGGCTGCTAGCTACACATGGCAGCCCATGGCAACCCACTGCAGCAGGGGCTGCAGTCTACACCGTTGCCAGCGACTCATGTACTTGCAGAATTCTTAATCATTTGTTACTCTACTAATAAGAAAATTAATTAAATGCTCTTCATTCAAAATTTTCTAGTACTGCTGTTTTAACTACAGTTAAAATAGAAGCAAATAAGCTTATCTCTCATATCCAATATTATTATTTCTATATTAAAGTTCACATTTTTCTTTATAACCAATGCTGAATAAAAAATTCATTTAAAATATGCAACTAAAAGTTTCTCCAAATCTATTCTATTTAAGAAATAAGTTGGGCCGGCCGAGTGGCATGTTGGTTAAGAGTTGGCTTGGAAGAGTTGGCTTGGGAGTGTCAGCTCTGAGCATCAGGGCCCCGGTTCGGATCCCACATGAGGGCCAGTGACGCTGCGCCCTCTACAACTAAGATTGTGAACAACAGCTCAACCTGGAGCTGGGCTGCCATGAGTCGTTGATGACGGCGTAGGCTGCAGTCGGTCTGCAGTGGGCTGCCATGAGCTACCGTGAGTGGCTGTCCAATGGCCTCCGAGCAACTGCCTCACCAGGGAAGAGCTCAATGATAATACCAACATGGACCAGTGAAGTGACATCCTCCACAGCTAGACTGAAGAACAAAAGGACAGCAACTTGTCTGTTCCCCTTACCCAATTCCCCAATGCTGTTCCCCTCCCCCAATAAAATCTTTAAAAAAAAAAAAAGAAAAAAGAAATAAGTTGACAGAAGAAAAAGCAATGTACTAATACGGCAAAGACAGGAAAAAAAAAGGGATCAAATATATGGTGATGGAAGGAGAACTGACTTTAGGTGGTGAACACTCAATGTGATACATAGATGATGTATTACAGAATTGTACACTTGAAGCCCATGTAACTTTACTTACCATTGTCACCCCAATAAACTTAAATTAAAAAAAAATAACAAAAACCCACAACAAAAAAATTCAGTATATTTGGTCATAATATAAATCAATAAAAATTCAATTAAATATTTCATGCTACATAGAAATAGGTTGTTCTGTTTCAATGTCAAAACATGCAAGCTAAAATTATAATGTTTCACATGCTCTAATCACAAGTATTGCCATGTGACTGACTATTCACTATATACTTAGGTAATTACGGTAATATTTTCATAAGGCTTGAAGCTAAATATTAGTGACTCACTATTAAGATGTACAGAGAACCTGAAATACCCTCCCTGCAGCTATCTTGATATAACTTGTAAAAATTACATAAAAGTATTAAATGAGAACCAATAAAACTAATGCACCAGATATATAACAATGCCATCAAACAATTCTTCAACTCAAAAAGAGCAAAGCATACTAGAGCTAGTCTAAGAATGAATGTGGATTTGTACTTAAAAAAAAAAAATATATATATATATATATATATATATACACATATTTATTGGGTTGTCGGAAAAGTAATGACACATTTTTGCAACTAAAAACAGAAAAAATACATCATGACTTTTCCGACAACCCAATATTATAGAAAATAAGGATAATGAAAAGATCTCCCGTCTAATGTAGTAATTAAGAGTAATGCAACTGCAATTTTTAAAGCACTCTAGAAAGTGAAAAATTTGAAAACCCATTCACTGAACAGGTATATAAGGTAAAACGAAACATGCATCCCACCTTATTAAAATGATACATTTATCCTGAATCTCTTTATAAAACCAAATTAATCATTTAAGAATTTCATTACATAAATGATTAAAATATGAAAGCATTTAACTTTAAGGAACAGAGAAGTTAGACTGTGAAACTGTACTGTGAATTTTTTTATAATTGTCATTTTATCCTTAATGTTGAAGACTGTATCAGTTTCATAAGTAATAACACTTGTGTTTTATAATAAATGTAACTGTATGCAGAGGTATGTTTAACAGCATCTGCACATAGCTACAGAAATTGTTACTCATTTTATTGTACATTTTTATTCTGACAGACTTTTTACTTAATACATCAGTAGAAAACACGTGACTAGATTATATACCCTATACCCATATTTTTAAAAACTTGAACAATATTCTTGTAAATGTCTGTTTTAAAAAACACATAGGTGGGCCAGCCGAGTGGCGCATTGGTTAAGAGCTGGCTTGGGATGCCAGAGGGCCCCGGTTCGGATCCCACATATAAGGGCCCGTGACACTGCCCTCTACAGCTAAGATGCTGAACAACAGCTCAACCTGGAGCTGGGCTGCCGTGAGTCGCTGGCGATGGCGTAGGCTGCAGCCCCTGTTGCAGTGGGTTGCCATGGGCTACCGTGTATAGCCAGCAGCCAGCGTGAGCGGCTAGCAGCCACAGTGAGCGGCCATCCAGAAGCCGGCGACTGATCTGCCTTGCCCGGGAAGAGCGCAATGATGGTGCCAACTTGCAGTGAAGCAACGTCCTCCACAACTAGACTGAAGAACAAAAAGGACAGCAACTTGTCTGTTCCCCTTCCCCCAATTCCCTAGCGCTGTCCCATCCCCCAATTTCCCAATAAAAATCTTTAAAAAAAAAAACATAGGTAACAAGAGTTACTGTTTTAACATGATTAAATTGGTATCAAATTTATGGGTACAAGTAAAAAAAGCTAAATACTTAACAGTCATAAAATAATAAAATGCAATATCATGCACTATATATTGCTTAGAAAGTGCTCACTTATATAAGCAGATGATGAGAGCAGTATCATGGGAAATCTGGATATATCTTTACATATATATCCTTAAAAAAATCACTTTCTTTTATATCATTTCCATTTTAATTTAAATGCTACATATTTTCAGCTAACATTTAAATTAGTTTTTTACTGTAATATTTCAGTTCTATTATAAACATGAAATACCTTTAGAAACTGCCATGAGGATAAGAATGATTCTTTCCTTCTATTCTGTAATTATATCACATTCGGTATATATTAAACATTATATTTGAGAAATATACTCTGATCCTGAATGTATTCAAATTCAAGATCAATGTTATGATAGAACGAAGATTTATGAGGAAAAATTTATAATAGTTTATAAGGTGAACTCTTTAAAGATCATGTAACAACAAGAATACCTAGCTAGAACATTGCAGAGTGGTAAGATTTGACATTTTACCAAAGGACAGTAATGCTTGATCTTCTATTCCCCACAGAATGCTGCATCCAGTTAACAGCAGGAAGGGAAAAGCAGCAGCAACATTCTAAATGTCTATCCTCTGATCTCCAAAATGACACCACAAAAGTAGAAGAAAATCACATTTTATATCCGGTACTATAAATCTGAAATGAAGGTTCTGCTACTTTCAAGACTGAAAGGATATCACAGTGTTGATTTTATATACAAAGTAGGATCTGTTCCAGTATACTCTAGTGAAATAATTCACATATGGAGAATAGTTTATTTTGACCTCATGACAAAATCTCCCATATTTTGAATAGGTTAACTTGCCACCCTCTTCACACACCACCTATCAAAAGATATAAAACATAATATTAAAAAGCTTATTAAGCTTATAGCAGAAATGCAATCAATGTACAAATGACTATTTTATATGAAAAAAATATGCTAAACATGGACTGTCTCACCTTGTTTAGCAAACATCTCACATTGTTTAGCAAATAGAAGCCTCTTCATAAGAGAGTCACTATGCACACTAAACTTTTTTTCTTTCTTAAAGATTTTATTGGGGAATTAGGGAAGGGAACAGTGTTGGGGAAGGGGAACATTATGTTTTTCCAGGACCAAATAAGTCAAGTTGTTGTCCTTCACTCTTAGTTGTGGAGGGTGCAAGCTCAGCTCCAAGTCCAGTCACTGCTTTCAATCTAGTTGCGGGGTGGGGAAGAGGGGGGCGGTGTGTACAGCCCACCATCCCATGCAGGAGTCGAACCGGCAACCTTGTTAAGAGCACGTGCTTTCACCAGCTGAGCCATCCGGCCGCCTGTTGGCAGCTCAGCTCAGGTCCAGCTCACTGGCTCATGTGGTAATCAAACCGGCGACCCTGTTGCTCACAGCTCACGCTCTTAACCAACTGCGCCACCTGGCCGGCCCTACACTAAACTTTTGAGCTTCCCATTGAGATTGAAAAACCAATGTAAAGTGTTTCCAATTTTTAAAAGATTTCATCCTAAAATTTAGAAGGCAATGTCTCCATAGTCCATTATCATTCCTCTGAAGAACCTTATCATGGAGCCTACCAAGGATGAGAAATGAACATGTTATATTCTTAATGTATATTCAAACGCTTCTCCTAGTGTAGATGTTTACTTACAATTATATTATAAGCAAGTAAATTTTTGTAACTTATCCAGTGCAAACCTTTACATTCTCACCTTAATGATGTTCACTAAGATAACTTAGCTAGCTTGAAGGGTTTTCTATAATAAAACACTAAATATTATTCTAATACCTATGAAAGATGTGAGAGCCAACTTTAAGAGTAAAATGATGTAGTTTTAAGTCCATGCCTGGCATTACATGAAAGTAAACTGATCTTCAAAATGGAGCAAAAAAGCAGATAAAAACGTTTCAGATAGCAGATAACAATACAGCGTTAACCACTGAATACCTGATGTTTAATAAAATTCCATTTTCAGGGCTGGCCAAGTGGCTCAGTTGGTTAAGAGCTCGAGCTCTGAGCAACAAGGTCACCGGTTCGATTCCCACATGGGCCAGTGAGTTGCACCTGAGCTGAGCTGCTGCTGAGCTGCCAACAGGCAGCAGGATGGCTCAGCCAGTGAGAGCACGTGCTCCTAACAACAAGGCTGCTGGTTCAACTCCTGCATGTGATGGCGGGCTACTCCCACCTGCAACTAAGATTGAACATGGCACCTTGAGCTGAGCGGCCGCTAGCTGCCGATGGGCAGCCGGATGGCAACTGGACTTGGAGCTGAGTGAGCTGCGCCCTCCACAACTAAGATTGAAGGACAACAACTTGGCTGTTCCCCTTCCCCAATTCCCCAATAAAATCTTTAAAAGAACTAAAATTCTATTTTGTCGCCATTAAGCCAAAGATAACAAACATCAAGTACCAACAGATAAAATTCAAAATACATGCAGCAGAAATAAGAATAAGTTTGTATCAGAAGATTAAGGTGTCAGGAAGAAAGAGAAAGATGAAAATCACAAAAATGAATTTCTCACCTCCAAATTGTTCTGGGATGATAAGACAAAGAGCTAATTATTTAGGAAGGGACAGAAAAAATCTTGGCTGCAAACTGAATAGACTATGCACTCCAACCTAGAATGACTACTAAACTTTTCCTAAGGTCCCTACCCTCAACTTTCCCAGGAATAAAGGCACCTATTGCAGACAATACTAATTACCCTGTCAGTCTTCTTAGTTATTAGACATACAGTATATACATCCCAGGCTGAGATGTAAGAAAGCTTAGTAAAATAACTGAAATCAATGAAAAATTAAGATACAGCTAAGTCCTGGGGTGACCAGTTAGCTCAGTTGGTTACAGCATGGTGCTGATAACACCAAGGTCGCTGGTTCGATCTCCGCATGGACCACTGTGAGCTGCGCCCTCCTTAAGAGAGTCAACTATGCCATTGTAGCATGAAAGTAATGTGTAACCGATGACCATGGCTGTTCCCCAATAAAAATTTTTAAAAAAGAAAAAGATACAGCTAAGTCCTAACAACTAAAGTGGCTCTGAATACACTAACTTTTGTGGATAACAGGGGTTTGATATAAGAACTGTAATAATTTAGTAAGCAATTTTCTAGATATGTATCAAATCACAAGAAATTTCTCAACATAAGAATATAACATAAATAAGAATATAACAATGCAACCAGGTGCTCTTTAGATTAAAAATCAAATCAAATCAAATTATGCCATGTTTTATTATAAATATTGAACATGCACAAGTACAGGCTATGAATAAAGAATCCAGGTATTGGTAAAATTTTTCATTTTTTGCAAAAATGTCCAACTTTTCTTTTGTACATTGAAAACATACTTCAAACTGCTTTTAATAAGCTCCCTCCATTGTTATGAAACTTTAAATTATAGTGATACCTTGGTTTGCAAGCATAATTCGTTCCTGAAACAAACTACTCCTATTGTAAGACATCGCTCGTTTACCAAGTTAAAATGATTAGAAATGTTTCCTCATCTTGCAGAACACTCACAAACCACGTTACTCGCAATCCAAGGTATTATTGTATATTCTTAGTTAAGTTCCAAAAATAAAGTTTGAAGATTACAAGTTTAAATAAAGTCATTTTTCTTAAAGATTTAACTTTCAAATGGTTACTTACATGGCCATTTGCAATGTCTAGTAAATCTTTAACCCTACAGCCTCTCATGGTTCCCACCTCATTGCAGATAGCATCCTCTACAATTAGGTAATTAGCTTTGTAAGATGTCAGAATTTTATAAATATCCTCAGCAGATCGTTTTGAATAGATTTGATAGATCTGAAAGAATATAATCAGAAGTTATTTTAAAAGACATTTAAAACTTCTGTTAATCAAATCTATACACTGAGCATCTGCTATGTTCTTTACTACTGAGTACTATCTGTGGAAAATAAAGATATTCACTAAGACTTAATTCCTGCCCTTAGGAAGCTTCTATTCATATGATATTAGCCATTTGTATCTCCTTTGGAGAAATGTACATTCAAATCCTTTGCCAATTTCCTCCCAGCTTTATTGAGATATAATTGACATATAACATCGTGTAAGTTTAAAGTGTACAGTGTATTGATTTATTGTAATAACCATAACATTAGCTAATATTTTCCATCATGTAACATAATTACCAGTTCTTTTTTGTGGTGGGAACATTTAAGATCTACTTAGCAACTTACAAGTATATAATACATCAGGAATAACTATAATTGCCATGTTGTACATTACATCCTCAGAACTTATTCATCTCGTAACTGGAAGTTTGTATCCTTTGACCAACATCCCCAATTTCCCTACCCTCCAGACTCTGGTAAGCACCAGTCTATTCTATGTTTCTATGAGTTTGGCTTTTTAAAATTTCATATATGTGGTATCATACAGTATTTGTCTTTCTCTATTTGACTTATTTCATTTAACATAACACCCTCAAGATTCATTCCTGTTGTTGTAAATGGCCTTTGCCCATTTTTAAGTTGGTTTGTCTTTTTATTATTGAGTTGTAATAATTTCTTTAATCTTTTTTATTAACATGTATCAGATTACTTTATACATAAGATAAAGTCAGCAAGGTTAAAAATAATTTGACCACTGTCACAAAATACTGAATGAGCCAAGGCTGCTTAAATCTCATGTCTGGGGCGGCCGGTTAGCTCAGTTGGTTAGAGCGCAGTGCTCATAACACCAAGGTTGCCGGTTTGATCCCCACATGGGCCACTGAGATTGCCCTCCACAACTAGATTGAAACAGTTACTTGACTTGGAGCTGATGGGTCCTGGAAAGACACACTGTTCCCCAATTTAAAAACAAAACAAAAACAAACAAACAAACTCAAGTCTGGATTCCATGGCACTTTTCATTACAACTTGGCTGACCTGAGATAATAAGCTCTGGATATTATTACATAACGAGGTTTTTCAGTTTTTCTGAAATGCTAACACTGGATCAGCTTATTACTCTTCAGGGAATAATGAATCACAAATGTCAGGCCAAAAGCATCACATATTTGTCCTGAAAATACTGAGATTCAAAATCTATATTGCACAAGTTCCCAGTCTTTTTGCAAAAGTCAGTAGCTGCTTACTTCTTGTAAGAAAACATAGGCAGTAAGCTCCTTGATATTGGTCTTGGCGATGTTTTTTGGATCTGACTCCAAAGGCAAGGGAAACAAAAGCAAAAATTAACGGGACTACATCAAACTAAAACGCTTCTGCAGAGCAAAGGAAAGCATCAATAAAATAAAAAGGCAACCTATTGAATGGAAGAAGATATCTGCAAATCACATAGCCAATAAGGGATTAATATCCAAAATATATAAAGAACTCATACAATTCAACAATATCAACCCAAAACAACTTGATTTAAAAATAGGGAGAGGATCTGAATAGATACTTTTCCAAAGAAGACATACAGGTGGCCAACATGTACCTTAAAAGATGCTCAACATCATTAATCATCAGGGAAATGCAAATCTAAACTACAATGAGATATCATCTCACACCTGTAACAATGGCTATTATCAAAAAGGGAAGAAATAAGTGTTGGTGAGGATGGGAAAAAAAAAGGAACCCTCATGCACTGTTGGTGGGATTGCAAATTGGTGCAGCCACTATGGAAAACAACATGGAGGTTCCTCAAAAAATTAAAAATAGAACTACCATATGACCCAGCAATTCCACTTCTGGGTATTTATTTGAAGAAAATGAAAACACTAATTTGAAATAATATATGCACCCCCATGTTCACTGCAGCATTACTTACAATAGCCAAGACATGGAAACGACCTAAATGTCCATCAATAGATGGACAAAGAAAATGTGGGCATATATACAATGGACTATTATTCAGCCATAAAAAGAGAATGAGGGCCGGCCGAGTGGCTCAGTTGGTTAAGGGTGCAAGCTCTGAGCAACAGGGTCATCGGTTCGATTCCTACATGGGCCAGTGAGCTGCGCCTGAGCTGAGCTGCCGCTGAGCTGCCAACAGGCAGCAGGATGGCTCAGCTGGTGAGAGCACGAGCTCCTAACAAGGCTGCTGGTTCAACTCCTGCATGGGATGGTGGGCTACGTCCACCAGCAACTAAGATTGAACACGGCACCTTGAGCTGAGTAGCCCTGAGCTGCCATCGGGCAGCCGGATGGCTCAGTTAGAACGTGTGCTCTTAGCAACAGAGTTTCCGGTTCGACTCCTGCATGGGATGGTGGGCTATGCCCATCTGCAACTAAGATTGAACACAGCACCTTGAGCTGAGCGGCCAGATGGTGACTGGAGTTGGAGCTAAGCTAGCTGCGCCCTCCACAACTAAGATTGAAGGACAACAACTTGGCTGTTCCCCTTCCCCAATTAAAAAAAAAAAAAGAATGAAATCTTGCAACTTGCAAGAACATGGATGAACCTTCAGGGCATTATGCTACATGAAATATGTCAGACAGAGAAAGACAAATGTCATATGATTCCACTTATATATGGAATCTAAAACAAACAAACAACACATACACATAACTAGAGAACAGATGGTAGTTGGTGGGCAAAGTGAGTAAAGGGAGTTAAAAGGCATAAATTTCCAGTTACAAAATAAATAAGGCGTGGAAATATAACATACAACGTGGTGACTATAGTTAATGATTCTGTATTGCATATTTGAAAGTTGTTAAGAGAATAGATCTTATAAGTTCTCATCACAAGGAAACAATTTTTTGTAGCTATTTATGGCGGTAGATGTCAACTAGACTTAATGTGGTGATCATTTTATAATATATACATCAAATTATTATGTTGTTTACCTGAGACTAATATAATGCTATATGTCACTAAGCCTCAATTTAAAAAGGCATTGTGGAAATCCCCTCCTCCCCCAAAAGAAATTGCTCGTGGTAACAAGCCAGTATGCGGCAGAGATGGCATGTGAGTCCAAATACTCTAATTCTAGAGTCTGCATTCTTAGAGTTTAACCTCCATACTTAGTCTAAATTCTATGCTGCTATATTTTCTTCTTAGCTTAGTCTATACTTAAAAACTATATAAAACTCTCTCAAATTGAAAAACAGAATATTTGGAACTCAGATTCAGTTGGTCATTGGCTCCAGATATGAGGTTACCATTTAAATCCACCCCAAACATTCAAAATAATATATTCTCTGAACAACAGTAGTTAGATACCATGCTAATGTTATACTAAGTATAACAGCCCATACTGAAAAATAAATCACAGTGATAGAATTTTAACCTGGAAATACAAAGTGTATCAAGACATTAATTGATAGCTTGCTTTCAATAATTTGAGAACAATGATATTTTCAAAATTATGTTTCTCTTTGTGAAAGATTACACATCAGTTCCTTCGAACTTTGTGGAAAATTAAATGTTTCTCCAAGAAACATTCACAAAACCTTTAATATTTTAATTTTGGCTCTCTTCTTGGTTAAATGTATTATGCGGCTTTTTAAAAACTAAAGCTAATTAACTCTTCTAAATTAATTGGATTTCCCTAGTTAATCAGGAACATATGATATGCATCATTACAAAACTATACTAAAATAAAGAGTGATCTTAAAAAAAATCCAAATGTAGAATCTAAAATGTCTTACGTTTTCATTTCTCTTGAGAAGATCATCATCACTGTAAAGAGGCAAGCTTGTTACCATCCATCCAGTGCATAATTTAATCACACCCATTAATTGTGGACTCCCTGCAAACACAGCTGCAACTGGAGCTTGCCTTCTGCAAAGAACCACAAAGATTTGCACACTGGAAAGGTGTTTAGATAGATCTCTGATTTACACCAACTGTGAAATACCACACAACTTACAATGTACTGTATACTTAAGTTTAAATGTCAGCTTTCATTTCTGGATTCAAACACAAAATTGAGCCCCTACTATGTACCAGGAATGATTTTAAGTGCTGAAAATACAGAATTCTTTTGGGAGGGGGGTGGAGACCCTTGCTTTCAAGAGGGAGCAGAGGGAAGACAATAAACATATAAGTCAGGTGGTAATAATGCTATTAAAAAATAACAGGATATGTTGCTAGGAATATACTATTATATACAGTGTGATCAATTCAATGGTGATACTGTGAATTGTCATATTCATCTTTTTTCAATTATTAACCACCACAACCCACCTCCTTCCAGATCTACCTACACTCCTGCTCCTTCCCTACTTTTACTATGTGTCTACATCCAGACATCACATGTAGGACTTCTCCACTCTGAACCATGATCCAAAGTCCCAGATATATGCCACTTGCAAGACGATGAAACTCAGATGCAGGTACCAAAGCGCTACCCTATTTATTTATTTCATTTATTTATTCACGCTCTGTATTCAGCATGCACCTACTGTGTGTGAGAGACAGTGTCAAGTTTTAGAAATAGAAATGGTACACATCCATTATCCTCAGGGAGCACCCAGTAATGGGGAAACCAACACGAAACAGAATAATTATACCACAGTAACGTAAATGTCTAGTCTGATGTACAATGTCCTATGTTGAGGCCTTTTCTGTTTTTGAAAATAAGTATGATGATAAATCACATAGATAGATATAATTCCCTCTTTTGTCAACAATCACACAAAGCTATATAGTCAGTGTTCCACAATGGTAAATACAATTCACAAAAAAGTGTTAATGGGCAATAGTTATGGGTAATCTACAGAAAACAATTTTTATATATAGAAGGGGTTTCATTACAGTATTAAGACCTTATAATAAGACCTATTCTCATTTCTATATACCTATTCTATAAACCTAGTTCTCATTTCTAGAAACATTTTTTTGTCTCCCCCACCCACCCAGTTTCCTGGCTTTTTCTGATAGTGTTTCATTCCTTTTCATGTTTTAATTTCTTCTTCTATGTCTTCAATAATTTTCAATGTAGTTATTTCAGTCTCTATCTATGGGACAGCTGGGATGCAAAATGGCTTCAATGATTCTTCTCCCTATAGCTATGCTCTAGGAGGAAACTCTCATTTTGGTCATGTGACTTGCTTTGGCCAACAAACAGCAAACATAATATTAGCAGAGACAAACATGCTTGACATTGAGACTTGCCCTCTCTTGCTGCTCTTAGGAACTCTCAATCACTACCTCGTAAATGAGCCCAGGCTAACTTGGATGATGAGGGGCATGTGGCCAAGTCAATTCCATCCCTTCAGCTGATACCTTCCCAACCCTAGGCATGTGAGAGCAGCCATGCCAGACTATCCAGTCCCAGCTGAGCTGGCCCAGAGCAGAAGAATCCTTCTCATTGCCTACACTCAGCTGATCCTCAAAATGGTGCAAAATAACACATGTTTATTGTTTGTAAGCCACTGAGTTTTATGGTAGTCTATTATGCAGCAAAACTAACTGACACAAATTTTATAATCAGAAATTGCTAGAACTCTAATTTTAGAAAGCTGATTCTTGCTGTGTTAGACTGTTTTCTCATGTGATTTGTAAGTTTAGAGCTCATCTTCATTAAGCTTTATTTGTGGGTCCTCATAGCCTGGGTTGATATGTCAGGCACTCTACCCTAACCCAGAACCAATTTTTATGCTGATTTTTTTTATTTGGGGTTTCCTGGATTAGTCAAGTATAATTTCAAACTACAAATTCATGTGAATTCAGATTCATTGCTTCAAATTCAAAGAGACCTTTTTTTGACCAAGAGCTGAGGCAAAAGAAGGCATGCTTTCTCATCATCTTTCTCTGCCACTTGATGGATCTTTTGCTAGTCTACCTTTCACCCTGTGAGGTCTCTTAGTTACATATGTGTGTGTTGAGAGAGGGAAAAGATATCTCAATTACAATTCTCTGCTTTCATAGGTCAAAGACCACATCTCTTGTCCTAAGTGGGCATTGAAATTGAAATTAAAATTCTTGGTAAACTCGGTTACCAAGACTAGCAATTTACCACTCATCTACCTCCAACCCAAAACAAAAGAAGCATCCTTTTCACTACTTAAAAAAAAGGATATTCGTTCCTTTTTAGTCCACATTTCTAGGTGTTTGATGGTAAAGAGTCTCAAATCTCAAACTTATCAATGCTTATTTTCAAAGGAGTTCAATAAGAAAATTAGAATTATAAGTCCAATAAAAAATTAAATATCCCTAAAAACACAGTGTAAAATTCCCAAATTTTATGAGAATTTGAAAAAATATTAATTTTTTTATTTTTCCTGAATCCATTAGATAGTATGCAATGATTAATTAATAGTTTAATAGTCTTGGGCAGTTCAATTCTTACTTTATCCAGGTCATAAGTTCCACTGTATCTGGGTCATAGAATTCTTGTAGTTCCGTTAGTTCTGTCATTAGTCTTGGAAAAAACTAAAATGCAAAACAAAATCCCCAAAAAGTGTGTGTAAGTATCTAGAGAGTTTAAAACTATTGTAGAGTATTTCAAAAGACTAAGAAACTAACTTAAGGCAAACAATAATACAATATTGCTCTTACTGAAAAAACGTCATAACTCTCTTTACTTTCTTTCAGTGACCTGCTCATTCTTCTCAATCCAAACCATCTATTTTATGGTTACTGCCTAGATTCAGTCAACAATTATCATTAGCAAACAATTAATCATCAGTTGTATCTTTTATGCACACACATAATAAGCAAATTAATTAATTAATTTTGGGTTAAATAATTCACGTTTATTGGCAATTAGTTTCATGTTATAAGCTAAAGAATTTATTTTATTTTACAGATATTTAAATTTTGAAGTACCTGAAATACCTTTTAATATTAAGACTGATTTATTCAGCAATTTCCTTCGCCAATTATAAATCGATTTAATGACAGCATCAGAAACAGAAAATTGCATCAGATGGCATTCTAAAAATGTTTTACCTTTTCTATTATGTTCCTAATGATCAAAAATTAAGCATTACTAAGTATCAGACTTTGTTTAGTTAGAACACTGTCTCAATATAAGTATCCTACACTCACATACACATTTATCACTACTTTGTAGGTAAAGTACATTTTGATATAAAAATATGATTTTCTTACCTCCTTCCATAAGCTGAGGCCTATTATAGTGGGCACAGCCATGCTCAGAATAAAAGCCTAAAACATTAAAGCAAAAAGTGTTATGGATAAATATATTTCAGAATGTATTTTAAAGTACTAGACATTGATTCTATGACCAACTATATATCAATATAGTTATAAAAATTTCAGTCAGAGAACTTTAAGTCAGCATGAAACCTAGCTCACGGAGTGAGATGGGTGAAGACTAATGATAAGTTTAAGACATATTAAACGAGGTAAAATGAGACATATATTTATTATATAAATTTAAGACAGAACATAAAAATGGTAACACTCATATAATATTCCAAATAGCAAATCAATATTTGACAATTTTGCCAGGGATTTAAGTGGTAAAAAGCATACAAAGGTTACTGAACTGCTACCTAAAAAGCTAACAAAAACAAAAAGACAATGAATTAACACAGGAAAAATAGCTAATATATATCAACATACTAGTATGCTAAAATAAGAATGTATAAATTCCTTTGGAAAAAGACTGGCCTAATACAACATGACTATTATTAAAGATAATTATTTATCATCTTCCTTCCAGAATCTTTCTTCTTATTGTTCCATGTCCATTGGAGACTCCATAATAAACAGTCCTACCAAGGAGAAACCTAGGAAATATCTGTGATTTCTCTCTTCCTCATTCTCCCATACTTAATCAAGCACCAAGTCTTGTTTATCTTCCAACCATATTTTTTCACTCCAGTATAGCACAGTATTAACTGGGTGGATTTTGCAGTCAGAAAAACCTGGGTATGAATCATGGTTTCCAGATTTATAAGTTATGTGATCTCAGGGAAGTTATTTAACCAGTTTAAGCTTTAGTTTCTTTGTCTATAAAAAACAGATAACGAAACTTAGCCAAAAGGGTATTTGTGAAGGTTGAATAGCATATGAAATGCTTTGGACAATACCTGATACATAGTGAGCACTCAGTGAATTGAAGCTTTTATTACTTTCATCCACCATGGCCTGTACCTGAGTGACAGTGTCCTTCTTGGCTCTAGTCTGTCACTGTTATGCCTATCTTTCACAAAACTGTAAGGGAAAGCTGAGAGAAAATGTAAGTCTGACTCTCTTCACACCCTTGCTTAAACATCTCACTGCCTTCCTACTGCCTATAGAATAAGACCAAGCGCCACAGGATGACAGTCAAAGGGCCTCTGTGACCTTAGCCTTCTCAACTTCTCCAGTCTCATTTCTTGACCACCCCTACCTCACATTTTATGTGCCAACAAAATGAAATATATCATGTTTTTTCTTTGCCTTGGTTTTTATTCCCTTTGATTATATCAAGTTCTTTGCATAACTGTCTTTATTCCTTCTACCACAATTACACTTTCTTTCCCCTTCAATTGATTCATAACTCATCATCTTTCAAATGTCACACTGGAAAGTCTTTGAACCCCAAAGAAACTAAATTAAGTAGCCCTTCTCTATATTCCAATAGCATCCTGTCAATACTTTTTACTATCTATTTTTATGATCAGGAGACTATAATCTATTTGATGAAATTAATCTGGTTTTATTTTTCTTTGTATTCCAAGCACATTGCAAATAGCAGGTACATTCACATTGAAAACATACCACAGTTCTAAATCAAACCAAGAAAGATATAAAAATTCTTGATAGCCTCTCACATTATTAATTCACTTGTTTTACCTTTTATGTTTCAAGTTGTCTGCATTAAAATGCATTACTAGTGGGCCAGCCAAGTGGCTCAGTGGTTAAGAGCTCACTCAAGAGTGTGAGCTCTGAGCAACAGGGTTGCCGGTTCGATTCCCGGCCTGAGCTGAGCTGCCAACAGGTGGCAGGATGGCTCAGCTAAAAAAAATAAATAAATAAAAATAAAAATACAATAAAATAAATAAAACATAAAATGCATTACTTTTATAATCAGAAATTATAAAAGAGGGCCGGCCGAGTGGCGCGATGGTTAAGAACTCGCTTGGGATGCCAGAGGGCCCCGGTTCGGATCCCACATATGAGGGCCAGTGACACTGCCCTCTACAGCTAAGATGCTGAACAACAGCTCAACCTGGAGCTGGGCTGCTGTGAGTCGCCGGTGACGGTGTGGGCTGCAGTCCCTGTGACAGTGGGTTACCATGGGCTACCGTGTGTAGCCAGCAGCCAGCATGAGCGGCCAGCACCCGCAGTGAGCGGCCCTCCAGAAGCCGGCGACTGATCTGCCTCACCCGGGAAGAGCGCAATGATGGTGCCAACTTGGGTCAGTGAAGCAACGTCCTCCACAACTAGCCAGCACTGTTCCCATCCCCCCAATTCACCAATAAAAATCTTAAAAAAAAAAAAAAAAAAAGAAATTATAAAAGAATGTTTTTCACAGGATCTCTTCTTCTACCTATAAGTTATAATGTGATTTACTCATGCTATTTCAATGGTATTTAATGCGGTTTCCATTTACGCGTATATAATTGGAAGAGAAACAAGTACTTAATCTGAAATAACAATGACTTACCAACAATACTGGGTGTACAGTTCGTAATCGAAGCCACTTAAAAAGTGTTGTCCAAAGTTCAGGAGAACATACACCAGATGCTGCTAACATGCACACATAAGGAGTCCAGAGGTATTTCAAACTGGAAAAGACAGAGTCACATATGAGATATCTTATGAACATCATTATTATCTGATTTCTCTTTTATGAGTTCTTTCCTATTACCCATGAAAATACCACAATGTTAAAGGAAATGAAAAAGCTTAGCCTCTAATTTTCAGCAACAGATTGTTATTCATTTCTTAAATAATCACAAAGACATGTGGGTTACTAAAATAAGGATGAAACAGTATTAACATAGAAGAGGGTGCAGCAAAATTAATGCTCTTGGAGAGCATATAAACTTACACTTTTTTAGAAGGCAATTTGGCAGAAACCATAAAAATTTTAAATACCGCAAGACAATCCCATTTCTAGTAATCTAGTTTACAGATATATTAGCAAAAGTGTATAAAGATATACATACAAGGGTTTTAAATGCAGCGTGTTGTTTTAATAGTGGGTTGTCAGAAAAGTCATGACATATTTTTTCTGTTTTTCATCGCAAAAATGCATCATGACTTTTCCGACAACCCAATAGAAAAACGTTCGAGACCTAATTATCCTTGAATAGGTATTTATTAAAGAAATGATTAAATAAAAAACAAAATTTCATGTATACTGTTTGCCTAGTTTTTGGTGTTTTTGTTTTGTTTTGTTTTAATGTAGATATATGGTACAGTAAAAAAAATTACGTCTGAGGCTTGACTCAGAAAGATCCACTTCGCTCACTCAGGTAATTGGCAAGATTCTGTTATCTGCAGATGGTTGAACTGAGGGCTTCAGTTCCTTTTAGCTGTTGGCTAAAGGCTGCCCTCAGTTCTTTGCCACCTGATTCTCTTCAATATGGCAATCTGCTTCATTTCACACACATTTCCTAAGAATGTGAATAACAGGACTTGGAGATCCTTAGCAACTACTTCAGGAGCTGCCTACCACACAGCAGGTTTGACAATCAAGATGAAGGGGTCCTTGCAAGGAGCACCCTTTCCTATTGGATGGCATGCAACTCTACTATCACCAGGTGGCAACTCCCAACTTTGCAGCCAGTATGTGTGTGAGCTGGATATTCAACCTCTGGACTTTGAAACCATTTACCAGTACGCCATCCTGTACTTGATTCTTCAAACCAAACATGAGACCAGGTCATACCTCCTGCAGCCTTTGAATCGTGTGGGGGCTTCACTGCTATGGGAGAAGAATTCTTCACATACAGCTTTTAAAGCTACAATACAACACTACTAAGTCCTCAGAGATTAAGACTGACTCAGAAAGACAGGGTTGGCTGGCACACAACTTAAAATGAGCCTGCTTTTCTTCTAAGGCCCAGGAATACTGAGGCCATCTAGCCTTTAGTATGACACACATGAGAATAAACAAATACAGTGAAATATATTTTTGATTACTCTTACTCTAAGACTTGCTGTACAAACTCATATCTAACTTGCTCTTGTCCACTTTGATTTTCCTTTCATCTGCATGGCACCTGCTGACAGAATCCTCTTGATTCCTATCCATTTCACTAAATTCCATTAAATTCTAGTCCCATCTTCCAGGGTCTTAAAAACAAAAAACAACCAACCAGGCTGGCTGAGTGGTGCGATGGTTAAGAACTGGCTTGGAATGCCAGAGGGCTCCGGTTCGGATCCCACATATGAGGGCCAGTGACACTGCCCTCTACAGCTAAGATGCTGAACAACAGCTCAACCTGGAGCTGGGCTGCCGTGAGTCGCAGGCGATGGCGTAGGCTGCAGTCCCTGTGGCAGCGGGTTGCCATGGGCTACCATGTGTAGCCAGCAGCCAGCGTGAGCGGCCAGCAGCCGCAGTGGGTGGCCGTCCAGAAGCCGGCGACTGATCTGCCTCCCCTGGGAAGAGCGCAATGATGGTGCCAACTTGGGCCAGTGAAGCAACGTCCTCCACAACTAGACTGAAGAACAAAACGACAGCAACTTGTCCGTTCCCCTTCCCACAATTCCCCAGCGCTGTTCCCATCCCCCCAATTCCCCAATAAAAATCTTAAAAAGAAAAAGACACTGAAGAACATCACCTACGAGATTATTTTGAACAGCATGGAAAAATTGAAGTGGCTAAAATCATGACTGACTGAGGCAGTGGCAAGAGAGGCTTTGCTTTTGTAACCTTTGATGACCATGACTCTATAGATAAGACTGTCATTCAGAAATACCATACTGTGAATGGCCACAACTGTGAGGTAAGGAAAGCCCTATCTAAGCAAGAGATAACGAGTGCTTCATCCAGCCAAAGAGGTCAAAGTGGTTCTGGAAACTTCGGTGGTGGTCGTGGAGGTGGTTTCGGTGGGAATAACAACTTTGGTCATGGGGGAAACTTCAGTGGTCGAATTGGCTTTGGTGGCAGTCATGGTGGTGGAGGATATGGTGGCAGTGGGGATGGCTATAAAGGATTTGGTAATGATGGAAGCAAATTTGTAGTTTGTAGAAGCTACAATGATTTTGGCAATTACAATGATCAATCTTCAGATTTTGGACCCATGAAAGGAGGAAACTTTGGAGGCAGGTGTTCTGGCCCCTGTGACGTGGAGGCCAGTCCTTTGCCAAACCATGAAACCAAGGTGGCTATGGAGGTTCCAGCAGCAGCAGTAGCTATGGCAGTGGCAGGAGGTTTTAACTACTGCCAGGAAACAAAGCTTAGCAGAAGACAGCCAGAGAAATGACAGGGAAGCCACTGGTTACAATCGATTTGTGAACTCAGCCAAGCACAGTGGTGGCAGGGCCTACCTGCTACAAAGAAGAAATGTTTTAGACAATACTCGTGTATGGGCAAAAAAATCAAGGATTGTTTTTGTGACTAACTGTATAACATGTTTTCATTTCTGTTCTGTGGAAAGTGTAAAGTATTCCAACTAAGGGTTTTAATGTAGATTTTTTTTGCATTCATGCTGCTGTCCATTGCTAAATCTAACAGTCTGATCATGATGCTGAATAAATATGTCTTTAAAAAAATTCCTCCTTTGGCTTTGAGTTGCAGCTCTTCCTAGGGTCCCTCCACCATAGTCCCTATGATGATGATGATGTTGATGATGATAACGACGACTACTACTACTCATGCAGTTTCCAAATCCTAAATATTTTAGTTTGGCCTCTTTACTCCATCTCCATTGCTACTCTCTTCTAAATTTTGTGACACCTTCTTAATTGGTTTATTTTACTCTAATCTTGTTTTCCTCAAACCTTTCTCAATCATTGCTGCCAGAAAGATCTTACTTAAAAAGTAAATATGGGGGCGGCCGGGTGCTAAGTTGGTTAGAGCGGGAGCTCTGAGCAACAGCGTTGCCAGTTCGATTCCCACATGGGCCAGTGAGCTGTGTCCTCCGCAACTAGATCTAAGACAACGACTTGAGCTGAGCTGCCACTGAGCTGCTGATGGGCAGCCAGATGGCTCAGTTGGTTAGAGTGTGCACTCTTAACAAGGTTGCTGGTTGGACTCCCGCATGGGATGGTGGGCTGCACCTCCTGCAACTAGATTGAAAACGGCAACTAGACTTGGAGCTGAGCTGTGCCCTCCACAACTAAGACTGAAGGATAACAACTTGGAGCTGATGGGTCCTGGAAAAACACACTGTTCTGCAATAAAGTTAAAAAAAAAAAAAGGCAAATATGATCATGTTAAATTTCTGTTTAGAACACCTAATCTGGTTCCCACTTATTTTTCCAGACTTATCTCTTGCTGCTTCCCTCACATTTATCTCATTCTTTTAGTTCCCAGAAAATGCTTCTGCCCTGATTACATACACAAGACAACTGAGAGTCCGGCCAATCTCTATTTATCTCTCAATACTGTCACCCCATATAGGAAACTTTCCTTAAACGGGACTCTCCTACCCACTCTCTGCAACTAGGGTAGTACCTGACCAAAGCACCCTATGTATACTATTCTGATAGTACTTGCTTTACTTTACTTAACTCTAACTCTTGGTTTATTTATTGAGAATCGGAACTCTTTGGAAAAAAAAAAAGACTAGATCTTTTATCCCTATTACTCACCTAGCAGAGTGTCTGGCACTCTGACTTAGATATGGTGACCATGCATCTTATTTACATGAATAGGTGACCATGTTCTTATAGGCCTAGTGAGTAAATTAAAAAATTGAAGATGAATGATAGAATAATGTGGATTAGGCATTCAAAAAACAGGATCTTGAATTTAACATGGTAGACCAAACAATGAAGAATGGTGGGAATCACAAAAGGTTCTTTTGCAGAGAGAAATAAAACTGAGAGAGCAAAGAAGAAAAAAGGTAAACCATGCCCCCAAATTCTACTATTGCAAGGCAATGAAATGAGAATTGAAGCATGAATCACTTAAAATACACATGGTTTAAATAAATTTTTTCACCCTACTTATTAGGCATTATGGAATGCTAACTATTAGAGTGAACCACTATTATTGCTTCATGTTTTCATAAGGAGATTCCCACTAGTCATGGGTTTGGCAGTCTGATAAAATCTGTGGACCCCTTATAAGAAAACCTTTTGGCAATATTGAGAAGGCAAGGCAATCTTTGTGAAAGGGAGTCCACTGTCTTTCCTTAACGCTGGCACTTTGGAATAAAACCTACTTTTCTTTCCACCGAGAAAAAAAGAAAAAGAAAAAGAAAACATTTCTAACTGTATAAAATAAAATATACAAGTTTATGAAGGAAACCAATTATACTGAAATACTGATATCAAATAATAAAAATAAATTTATAACAGCAATATTTGTACTTCTTTGGTAATACATTAAATGCAGGTCTAGTAACGACTGTACTTTTGAAATAGTGATGTATGAAAACATTTCAAGATATCTGTAAAAAATTAATATAGTGACAAAATAGCCTGTTTTCTGTTGAGAAAAGCACCATAGGTACTGCTAAAATTACTATGATTTAGTACCTATATTCATAATTAAAGTAAATTTAACCTAGAAAATGTTATACTGGATTAACATTCTTCACCTCTGCCTACCTCCACTAACATCCCACTACTTCAGAACCTTAATCGCTCCTCATAAGAGTGATTTATCTGATTTGTGAGTGAGATAAGGACTCAAGCATATCCAGCTCAAACGCTTCTCAGCTTCTATATTTTGGATCTTACTTGTGCAGGTTGTGTGTGTATAGGTGCAGTAGGCTTACTAAGGCTTTGCTCATTCAAGAGGGAAGGTCTGAAGTTTGGAGACTAAACACAATTTGAGGTAGAAGATATTAGAAGCCCTTTTGATCACACACGAAGATGTGTTCTCCAATACACCTTTTATCAGAATCAAAATTATTTTTCACCTCCAGCTTACTTACTCTGTATTATTTTTCGTCTGAATGCAAACTTCAAAAAAGAGTATCATTTAGTGAACACTAACCATCAAAGCTCCAATGTTAACTAATCAAAGCAAATCAAGTTAATTTTAGAAATCCCAGAAGTTAATAACAAGCAGGGTCATAGCATTTATAAAAATAAAGAGAATTTACACTAATGAGATACCAATCTGTGCAGAAAGTTTTCTTTCAGTATTCTCAGATAATCCTAAATACATTTTATTCATAATTGGTATATTGTCTTTATAAACAATAGGCAGTATTTATTCTGGGGTATTCTGATTGTAAAAATTTGAAAAGCACCCAAAAAGTACAGAGGGATAATTTTTTTCAAATTATGCATAATCTAGTCACTCAAAATAATCATTTTATTTCCTTCTGATGTTCGTGTGTGTGTTTGAGTGTGTAATATGTACATACACACACATATATACATTTCAGCAAAACTGTGATCATGCTGTAACTTGCTTTTTCATTACTATTATATAGTCATAGTATTATATTATATTCTTGAATAATTTTAAGAACATAATTTTGAATAGCTTCATATATTCCAGACATGGATATACCAAAACTTAAATGTAACACAATCAACAGAATAAAAAGGCAACCTACAGAATGGGAGAAGATATTTACAAATCAAATATCTGATAAGGGGGTAATACCCAAAATATATAAAGAATTCCTACCACTCAACAAAAAATCAAATAACCCAATTAAAAAATGGGCTAAGGGCTTGACAGATGTTTTCCCAAAGAAGATAGACAGACAGCAAGCACAAGCAGAGATCATCAACATCACTAATCATCAGGGAAATACAAATCAAAAACACAATAAAATATCACCTCACACTCATTAGTGTGGCTACTATCAGAAATATAGAAATAACAAATGTTGGCAAGGATGTGGAGAAAGTAGAACCCTTGTAAGCTGCTGATGGGATTGTAAAACTGCAACTGCTATGGAAAATAGTATGGAAGTCCCTCAAAAAATTAAAAATAGAACTACTATATGATCCAGCAATCCCAGTTCTGGGTATATACACAAAAGAATAAAAAGGGTCTCAAAAAGATATTTGCACACTCACGTTCATAGCAAGAGGTAGATGTAACTCAAATGTCCATCAGCAAATGAATGGATAAACGAAATGTGCTATCTACTGTTAATGGAATATTATTCAACCTTAAAAAGGAAATCCTGTCACATGCTACAACACAGATGAACCTTGAGGACATTAGGTAAACTGAAATAAGCCAGTCACAAAAAGACACATATTGTATGACTCTACTTATATGAGGTATCTAAAGTAGTCAAATCATAGGAGAAAGTACAATGGAAGTTACCAGGGGTTGGTGAAAGGGAGAAAGGGGGAGTTGTTGTTTCATGAGTCTAGAGTTTCAGATTTACAAGATAAAAAAGTTCTGGAGATCCGTCTCACTACAATGTGAATATTCTTCTACTGAACTGTATATACACTTAAAAATGTTAAGATGGTAAATCTTATGTGCTTTTTACCACAATAAAAAACAAAACACAACTTAAACATAATGATCTGCACGCTATTAAGCATTCAGTTTGCATACAAGTAATCTGTAATAAAGAGATGGTTAAAAAACTACAAACTTCTAAAATGTAACACTTCCATCTTCCATCTAGAAAAGGAATTGCTCTTGTATAAATTACAATTTAAGGATTAGCTTTAATTAACATGCCGAGTCTCATATATTGCCTTTTATTATATTTATTTTAATGCATCTTATCTACTATGCAGTAAAGGATTAATCTTTGCCCAAAGAGAGATTTGACCCTTACCCCCACTCCTGGGAGGTAACTTCCAAGCCCTTGGAAAAGTCCTGTGTGAAAAGAGTATCTTTGTTTATCTGGGTTCATGCCTGATAGTTTATGCTAAGAATGTTATTTATTGTGGGGCCTTTGCCCATATGGTTATCAGTTTAACATCTGGAGGGGCTGGATACTAAGGTCAGCCACGCAGGTGGTCATTCACTTATACATACATGAGAGTCCCAATAAAAACTATGAACACCAAAGCTCAGGTGAGAGTCCTTGGTTGGCAACACTCCATGCATACTGTCATACGTCATTCATGAGAGAACTAGGTGACTCCACTGAGAGGGGACAACTGGAAGTTCTATGCCTAGTCTCTCCTGGACCCTGTCCAATGTGCCTCTTCCTTCTGCTGATTTTAATCTCTATCCTTTCATTATAGTATAACAACTATTCTGAGTTCTGTGAATTCTAGTGAGTTACTGAACCCAAGGGTGGTTTGGGGAATGCCCAAACTTGCAGTTGGTGTCAGAAATGAGGGTGTTGGGAACTCATGAACTTTGCATTTAGCCTCCTAGACTGTGAGCTTCTGAGAAGGGGAATCTTATCTTAAATATTTTTATACCTCCCACCATTGCTAAAATAGTAACATATATGAAAGAACTGAAAACTGCTGCTAAATGAATACATTTTGATAAAGTTTATTAATAAGGTGGCATGATTTTGGGTAGAAGCAGGAACAAAAAAAGTTTGAAAACTAAAGACTTAAAAATAGTGTTAGATGTTTCAAGGATTCACACTCCCTAAAAATTGTAACTTATCCGGATATTAATATATGGATACTTATTTTGCTTAACAAATTTAATAAGGTATATAGAACATTAAAATGATCAAGCAAATGAAATAATTTGGCCTTACTGAACATTAAATGGAGTCCCAAATGTACTTTGTAAGAGCTGATATGTAATATAAGTAATAAATGAAGTGAGGAAAAGGATGAAAGAAAAAACGACCCCCAAATGCTTACTAACAAGGCTTACAAGATGCTATGTATGCTCTTCGTACTTCAGTCACATTGAGTTCCTTTTAACCCCTTCCATCAAGTCCCTCCCAAAAATGAGCCATGTTTCTTCCTATCACAAGCCTTTGCATATGCACAGCTTCTCCCTGGAATACTTTTCCTTCTTCTATTTACCTAATTCACTGCTACTCACCCTTCATCAGATCTCAACTCAAGTACCTTTTCCTTTGGAAGCCTTTCTGAAAGATTACTTCAAGTCAAATTCCATTTTTATACTCGTATGTTCTCACAGGACCATTTACCCTTCCGTCACTTATCAAAGTTGTAATTTTATTATTGTGCGATTAATATCTGTCACTTCCATTAGGCCATAAGTTACATAATGTTAGAACTGTGTGTCCACCTTGTTCACCACTGTACCTCAAGCATTCAGCACAATGCTTGGCCCTTGGCAGACTTTCAATGGTTTTTAAACAAATGAACAAATCTGTAAATGTCAGTTTACTATACTATAAATACCTTTGTAAACTCCAGTTGGATTAAGAAAGTTTGTAGATTTTGAATTTTTATAAAGTTTTATAAATGTATTCTTGAAAGCATCCACTTATTATCATTAGAAAGGACAATTCTTTGTAAAAACAAATAGATCAAATAAAGTACACTTACCCTTCTAAAACCATTGCAAGAGAACCCAACAAAATAGTGTGAATCACATGATAAATTATTTCTGGCCTTTCTCCAATTCGTCCATCTTCAAGAGTAACAGTTTCTTTCAGGGATTTACCACTACACAAAGGAAATGTGTTTTTTACTACTTTAAATATATACATTTGAAAAATCAAAGATCTTAAATTTCTTCATAAAAAGAAATATAGGCGGTCCTTAAAATTTGAAAGTATATTCTCCTAGTCAAATACTAACTTATATTTCCAAGTTTTTAAAATCGGTTTTAGAACCTGAATGCAACTCACTCAGTGAAGACCAAAAATGCAAGTTCAGAAATATAATTTTAAAAATATTTTAGGGGCTGGCCAAGTGGCTCGTTGGTTAAGAGCTGGCTTGGGATGCCAGCTCTGAGCAGCAGGGCCGCCGGTTTGGTTCCCACATGGGCCAGTGACGCTGCACCCTCTACAGCTAAGATGGTGAAAAACAGCTCGACCTGGAGCTGGGCTGCTGTGAGTCGCCAGTGATGGCAAGGCTGCAGTGGGGCTGCAGTGAGCTATTGTGAGTGGCCGGCAGCCAGCATGAGCGGCCAGCAGCCAGTGAGAGCTGCTGTGAGCGGCTGTCCAATGGCCAGAGACTGACTGCCTCAGCCAGGAAGAGTGCAATGATCACAATACCAACATGGGCCAGTGAAGTGATGTCCTCCACAACTAGACTGAAGAACAAAAAAGGACAGCAACTTGTCTGTTTCCCTCCCCTGATTCCCCAATGCTGTTCCCCTCCCCCAGCCCCCCAATAAAATCTTAAAAAAAAACAAAAACAAAACTTTTAGGATCCTTTCTAAGATAAATTATCACTCAGCTAGTGATTGCTAAATCAATATAATTAAATCATAATTTAAACTAAGTTCTCAAAATTAAGATGCTACACATACAACCTCCTTTCAAACATGATAAAATATTTAAAATGATCAAACTTTATAATTTAAAATCACTTAATGACTAGCTTCATTTACGTTAAATAGAAGAAACTATTCGTATGTTAAGTAAAAGTATGAGTAAATTAGTGAATGAGTTTGGGAAAGTTTAACTGGTTACTCCTACATTAAATCTGGACATTACACATTTAAATATATAAACTTTAATTTTTCTTTTAGTTTTTCTTTTTATTAGTTTCAGGTGTACAAAACAATGTAATAGACATTTGTATTCCTCACAAATTTTATCTGGTGATAAATATGATATTTTACATAGTGATGAAGAGAGAATGAAACTCTAAAACAAGTACAAATATTGGAAGAACATTAAAAATAAGTATTTTACATATATCCATAATACATTAGTAATATGAATATCATAGGTACTTACTTAATTCTCCTTAAAATAACTTGCATCATAGAAAGAAAACAAATAATTAACACTAAAATATAGAAAGGTAATAAAGAAGACTGTGTCAATCGCAAAAATAAATCTTGAGATGGTGCCTGCAGGAATTTCTGACATAGGAGCCAATTCATTGTAAAATTCCTATAGAAGACAAAAAGCATATTAAAATAACAGGTGTTTTAAACTTCTGAACATAAAAGTACTTTTTATCTCGGTAAAAACTTAGACAAAACAAAATACGTATTCTAAATCCATTCACTTATAACAGGCAGATCCTACCCTTTACAAATAAAGATAACAGCATTAGTAACTTTCCTCAACAAACTGCTTTAATAAATATAAAACTGCTGCTTTTTGTTAACAAGCAATGTGACCATCTCTAGAGCCCAAGATAGCTTCAACGGTTTCACTTTCTGATTTTTTCTGGAAGAAAACAAAAAACTTAGCTGTCCAACTTCTACATTTGCACTATCCAATATGGTAGCTACTAGCTACATATATGGCTATTAGCACTTGAAATTTGACCAATGCAAATGAAGATATACTTTGAGTACAAAATACACCCTGAGGCCCACCGCATGGCGCGTTGGTTAAGAGCTGGCTTGGGACGCCAGCTCTGAGCAGTAGGGCCCCGGTTCGGATCACACATTAGGGTCAGTGACGCTGTGCCCTCTACAGCTAAGATGGCGAACAACAGCTCGACCTGGAGCTGGGCTGCCGTGAATCGCCAGCAATGCAGTAGGCTGCAGTGGAGCTGCAGTGGGCTGCTCTAAAGCTACTGTGAATGGCCAGCAGCCTGGGTGAGCTGCCAAGAGCTGCCGTGAGCGGCGTCCAAGGCCCGGCGACTGATTTGCCTCACCCGGGAAGAGGGCAATGATAATACCAACATGGGCCAGTGAAGCGACATCCTCCACAACTAGACTGAAGAACAAAAGGATAGCAACTTGTCTGTTCCCCTCCCCCAATTCCCCAATAAAATCCTTAAAAAATAATAATAATAATAATACACCCTGGATTTCAAAGATAAAGAAGAATAAAAGAAAAAAAACAACAACAACAAAGAAATACAAACCATCTCAATAATTTTTATATTGGTTACACATTAAAATATTTTTGATGTATTGGATTAAAACATTAAAATTAAATTCACTTGTTTCTTTTTACTTTTTTTAATGTGGCTACTAGAAAATTACATATATGGGTCACATTATATTATTACTAGACAGTCTTTTTTTTTTTTTTTAAGATTTTTATTGGGGAATTGGGGGAAGGGGAACAGACAAGTTGCTGTCCTTTTTGTTCTTCAGTC